ATTAGAAAACAAACGCCAACCCAAAAAAAAAAAAAAAAAAGTAATATGTACTCCTACGTGGTCCCGGTTGGCGGCGCGACAATTCTGCATGTTAGATGGAAGAATCTCCCAGTCTGCTCAAGACCCGCCCCCTAGACCCGCCCCCTAGCAGGGCGTCGGCCAATCAGGTGGTCAGTTTAAATTTGGAATTTTGAAGCGGGCCAATTGGAGGCGTTGTTACATAACAATTCTAATACAGAGTGGAAAGCTGGTCCATTCTGGTCAGTGGCTGAAAACCACTATAACGTTCCTGCATCATTCCCAGCAGGAACTTGGATTTTTATGTTATATTCAGTCCAAAGCATGTTGCTCAAGGACTGTATTTGAGTACAGGTTTGAGATACTTCTTCTTTACCTGAGTTTTTCCACCCTCTGCAACTCTACAACGTTTATTTTTCTTTATTCTTTTAAAGAAAGAAAGAAAAAATGGATGTATAGTAACAAAGACATGCTTTAATATGTTAGGGGACAATCCAAGTTAACTGTTTTTAAATAGAATAAATAAATAAAAAGACATCAGGAGGGTACTCCACTAAATGTATTTGATAGATATTTACTTCACTGATTAGAAATGCAATGTGTAGATTTGAGATGAAAATTCCCATTGCTCTGTAAAGTAGTTCACATTTGCACCACCTACAACATTAAAATGCTAATTCCATAATAATAATAATCCAATACTATAATATTAACGACACAAACATGTGAAATGTAGCATTCTGCATTTTGAATACTTTCCTTTTGACACTTTAAATTTATATTTAAATAAAATATCTTCTTCCAACCCTGATTGAAAGTTTTTGTGTAGTTCATATCATATTAGTGTTACTGTTTTATTTTAATATCATATAATGTATTAATTTAAGCTCCTGCTGTGATACTAGCCCTTTAAATGTAACATTTGTTATATATTGTCTATACTATTTTATACTAGCAAATAATACATTACATGTTTCCTAGCAAGCTGATGTGGTGAAAAATAGCTATATACCATTAAATATTTTGCTTTTAATACTAATTTACTTTCACTTTGTAAGATTTGAATGTCTGACTTTTCCTTTCCTTCATTTTTACACAGTGGTATTACCACTTTTACTTATATCTGAATACCTCCTCTGCCACTAATGGAACATGATAAGTGTCAATGAAGCTCACAGATACACTCACACCATGCATTTAAATAATCAGCTAGCCATGAGCTGATAAACACTTTATTCCCACACTCTGGCGTTAAGCCTTTTAGGTCTTTACAGCAGCAGGCAAATGAAATCACAGGGACATCATTGTGAGGGGCAAGGAAAAGCCCCAAGGCCCACACATATGCTGAGCTCTCCAATTGCCTAACGTTCAACTGGTGAAACATATTTGTCTATCCATTATCAACTGTAACAGCAGTGTCCTTAACTTTATTATAGTGACATGTAGGGCATGGCAGCCACATGGGACTCCACAGAGCTTGAAAAAAAAAAAAGGGGGCTGTACAGCTGATCGGGACAAAGACAAAGGCTGACAGTGTTCTGCTTGCAGGCTACTCCAGCAGCACAATAGAAGATAGGACAATAGGACTCTTTTGACCCATACTGTGGTGAGGTTTCCCTGGTTTCAGAGAGGAGCTATTGTCTAAAGAGCTGGTGCACCCTCATCCAGACAATGGAGAATTTAAACTGATGTAAGTGGGACTCTGCATTATGTGATAACATGAGGTTCATATGCATTTAATGCAATTAGTTTATTATACTCATGCCACATTTTTAATGCAGCATCTTATTGATTTGACATAAAGCGTGATTGTGCATCAAAAACAAAACTCTATATGACTTAAAGATCCATCTAGAAACAAGAAGAAAAACAGATTTTTGAGTGGAGTGGGACTACTGCTATTTTAAAATATGTGGGATTGCTGTATTCCCACAAAACAACTTGCAATCTGTATCTTTCTGGGTTACATGTGTGCATAAAAATTCACAAGCAAACTATAAAAATGTTTTACTGGTTCACCAACATAGGAGCCAACAATGATTGTGTTTCTGTGGTACTTTCCCTAAAAAAGCACTTGGCCCACTTGAGTTACTACACCAGCACACTCTGCTTTGTGCAGAACACTGTTACAGCAACACACACATGCAGTGCAGTGTCGTTTTTATGAATGGCAAAGTGAGGACAGAGGATTTCAGATCAATGAATGGTGAACAAAGCTCACTAAGAGGTTGTAGTAGGTCTGTCTGTAATGACTAAATGCATACTGTATAATTTAAGATGCTGTTGTGTTACCTTTATGTATGTTATTGCTCTCTGGAGCGTGTTTGTAACTTTATCCCACAATCTCTCCAGATTTTATTTTATTAATTTCTGTTAGCCATTAGGGTTTGTTGAAGCATTCACTGCTAATTCCTTTATGCCAAATGTGTAGCGGCTGAGCCAGAGTGACTCAAACATTCAGCAGATTACGAGCTCTCGTGGCGGCAAAATGTTTGGCTGGATTAGGACATCACATGAAGTCCAAGTTCAAAGCCCAGCAGCGTTAGGATTAGGACAGGTGGAAATGACTCTGCAGCACAGCATGGTTTGTATTCAACACTTATTCATGCAAAGCACCCATCATGCAAGATAAAAAACAATATTTCATTCATAAAGGGATTTTTTTAAACCTGCAGTTGGGTTGAGAGTTTAAGAGGATGAGGATCACTCCCCACTCCAGGTTGTATAAGTGGATCTGGCACTGAGTTTGATGACTGGATGAAAGCCAGCAGCAGTCAATCTATCAAGCCCTCTGGCCAGCCAGTCTCTAATTGGAACACAATGAACACTGGAGAGGATGTTCTTTCTATTTGTGTACTAAGATGCGTCAGTGAAGCAGCAGTTATTAATTTCCAAACTGGGAAAGAAGAGTGTAATCTTTTAAATTTTGATAAAATAAATGCTCTATATTTTAAATTAAGGTTGGTTAATTCACAACACATGCAGCTGAAACCCCCCCCAGCAGCCATTTTGATATGAAATAGTAGTTGTTACCAATAATACTCATTAAGGTTCATTCAGGTCAAACAGAGCCAGGGTGCTGTTGTGCATGTTGGTTCACTGGAATGGGGCTCTGCTACACCTGATGGAAAATGGCTGCTGTGAAAATGGTCTATTATGTCGCTTTGACACTGAAGAGGTCTAATGAGACGATTAGCTTAGCCTAGCATAAAGGCTGGAAGCAAGGGGGGAACCAGCTAGTGTGGATCTGTCCATAGTAAAAGTCAAATATGCCTCGTACCAGCACCTGGTGAAGGAGTCCAGAAAGTACTAACCCCGGCCAAGAAATAGTCTGGCAAAGAAACCCTTGTAAAATCACAACTTGTCATTTTAAACCAATTAAACAAACAAAGTGGATTCTGTTACCTTTGCACAGAACCAGGTGTACTCTAACTTCTTATTTAACAGATATAAGAATGGTATCGATCTTCTCATCTATAGGCAAAAGAGCCAATTAGTGTACTTCTCAAAATGTCAAACTGTTCCTTTAAAGACAGCACAACAAAATAAGGTTTGGGTGGTAAACATCGTCTATCTGTTGAGCCGGTGATGTGAAATGAAATCCCACTGCTCTGTCTCTAACCACAGGCTTCATATGTCAGAAGCATGGATGTGTGGCCATTCAAATGTACAATTCCCAGTTTGTTCCTTTTGTGCTGAGCACAGTTTACCTGTAGCCTACTTTCTGCGGTCGGCCCCATCCTCTGTTCCCCTGACGGAGCACTACAAAGCAGCATGTGAAACCTGCTAGGCTTTTTGTCCCTTCTTGCTTTCACCAAACCCCTGCATCAAGGTGAAGGACAATGGCCTCTGGGTTCCCAGGGCAGTGCGGGGGGCATTAGCGCTGGGATAAGTTAACCACCACCGCCAAGTGCTGATGTTTTATGATAAGGACACACAGGGCAGCAGCCGGTGGTACAATGGGGGGCTTTGTGGCTGAGACTGCACAGATAGCACCCAACCAAAAAGCTGTGTAATTTGTTGAGCTTCTTCCCTCCTGCTTATCTCGCTCCTCTGCTCCTTAGGGGTCATGGGCAAGTAATAAAACCTGACTGAATTTAGGGTCCCTTTAAATGAACTAGGGAAGGTGTTGTTTACCACCACAGTCATGAAACCTGAGAGAACTTTGAAAGCACAACATGGAAACTGAGTGCTCCAAACCTCCCAGAACCCTCTTTTGTTCGCAGTCACTGATATTATCCAAATAGCAACTCATTTATCAGGTCATTTAACTTGGAGAGGCCTCGTAGCTGGAGCTGTGTAATTACCTTTGGCCTAGAAACGTCTGTAAGAAGTGAGGAAAACATACAGCTAGTATTATAATCTGATATTTGAATTACACAAGAGTACCTGGAACTATAAAGATGTCAATATATTTTGTTTGACTAGCCATTAGTCATTGCAGACCTTGGTGTTGAGGTTAAGAGACAAACACATTCACTAATTATTGTGCCATTTTTCAGATGAGATGTTACATCATGTGAAATATTTGCTATCTCAGCATAATGCCTATGTGTGCATGCATTCCTTTTAATGTGAGTCGATGGCTGTTTGGAGTTTCAGGTGATTAAGAATCAAGAGTGCATAGCCACATGATAACACTCCCCGAGTGCATGCTGTGTGAAGTGAAGCGTGTTCTCGTCTGTCTGTCGACATGCACAATTGACTCTCTTAGTCACCCCAACAATGGCAACAGAACATACAAAATACCTCTGTGTGTGTGTGTGTTGCATGTATGTTTGTAGTTCAGAGCACTCAGAGTTTAATTGCAGCACGATAAAGCTTGTAAAAACACAACTGCTCCAGTGTTTGTTTATGTGTGATTCAATTAAGAGATTTTTGTACGAGGAACGGTAATTCTTTTTGGATGAAAGAATTAATGGGGTTTCAATAAATGTGACATTTAGAAAGTTTTGTTTCCCTTCAGTTTGAACTCGAGCAACTTTCAGGCATAAAACATAAGAGTTTAATTCTAAATGAGTCTAATTATTGTCTGTGAGATTTCATTTCACTGTAAAGTGAAGTTATATACAATAAACAGGTTTAATCTTTTTCTCAGTTTTGCCCAATACTCAGCTGAATTCTCATGCGTTGGGATTTGATTTCCAGTAAGGCCTGATTAAAGTTGGGAACAAATAGATGCAGTGTGGTGAGGAGACGGCGTCTGCTGCACCCACTGTGTGTTTTCCATGAGTCGGAGTGGGCGTCATCCGGGCACGGGGATGCCAACGTCCATAAGCTCTCTCCATCTGTCACCAACGTCCTCTCCTGGTGGGCAGCATTTCTTTCTTTTATTTATCTATTTTGTTTGTTCCCATTTGTGCATCACAACAAAACACAAAGAGGGAGGAGGAGGCAACAATTACATCACAATCACATTTAAAATTTCATTTCTGATGAATTCTCAAAAAAGTTAAATACTAATAAAAATACACATTTTTTTTGTCTGACACACATGGCTCATTTAAACAAAGTAGTGCAAAGCTGAAAAATGTTTTTTTACAGAGACAAAGCTGAACCTTTACTTATTACTGAAGTAGGTAGACAAACATTTGTGTGCTGCTCTGACTGCATTACTCCAATTCTTTTAATTCTTCTCAAACTTTGTACTTCATCTTTCCAGTCTTGCTGATGACACAGATGTGCTGAAAGAAGAAGCGGGAGAAAGAAAAATTAGCTTGTGTAACTTCAATGCTGAACTGTATGTTTCAATCTTGTCCAAAACTTTGCGTTTAACGATGGCAAAATATTTGTCTAAGATCACCCTGCCCTATGGGAAATTCCAGCATGTTCCGAGAGCCTCAATATGCCATGTACAGTATGAGAACATGAAGCCTGCAGTAATTTGAAAGCAGGAAAGGTAATCTACAAAGATATGACACATTCATTAATCTAACTTTGGGCGTCCCAGGGGTTCAACTAATATTTCTTCTGTAGGATAAGGACAGATAAGAGGGGAAGCTTTAACTCTGCCTGATAATGAGATCCTAACCTCTACATTCCACAGGTCACCCTCTTTCAAACTTTCGTAATGAATACCACCACCCTGAAACATGCACAAGAGACACACACGGTCGTACAGTACAGTACATATAGCACCACACACACCCATGTGAATACACACACACACACACACACACACAAAGCTATGGGAGTCGGTCTAGGCTTAGCGTTTCACATGAGTCAGAGGTAAATCTGAGGCCACGTCTTTACAGATGTAAAAATGACAAAGTTCACATAAGTTTGCACTTACTAATTTCAGACTGAGAAATCTGGCTTTGAATAAGATGTCAGGGGTGTGACAGAGAAAGCAGAGGATAGGGCGCGCGCCTGACTCAAAGCTTGTAGAGGAATAAGCTGGGTTTAAAGCACCAGTGAAGTAGTCAGACAGTCCTTCCAGGAAGTGGCGATTGCAGCCTTGCAATTCTGTCCAATCACCGCAACTTTAACCAATAATTGTAGTTTCCTGCATAAAGAGGTGAGCCCAACTCTCTTCCTTGTTTCTAGTTGTGTCCATGCGACGCAAATATCTTACCCTGTCTAAACAATACAACTTTATTCTCACTGGTCAACATAACACTGAGTATTACGCTGAATGATATGTGTTATTAATGATTTTAAAACTTATATACACACACACACAGTGCACACATAAGTGAACTGAGCTGCTATGTGTAAAATCTCCTCAGGCTGGGAGGATACCTGTTGGGCGAGTTTAGGTTTCACAGAGAAGAGTGCATCTCTTTGATTTGTGGTGTTTACACCCCCCTTCTATCTCTTTCATCTCTTTCTCTTAGCTCTTCAAAAGGTCATGTGCCGTGTGCAGCGGTGTCAGTAGACTCAGGACTTACATTCAGGTCACGGAAGTATTCATTGTAGTCCAAGGCATAACCAACAACAAAGCGGTTGGGGATTTCAAATCCAACATCTATCAGAGCAAACACAGACACAAATGTTAAACTGCTACCTGATGTGAATTCTGAAATTGTTTTGGGACATAAAAACATACATTTTGTATTCTTAAGACCACAATGTCAGTATAGATTCAAGCTTATATAGAAAAAAGCATTTTTGTGTATAGCAGATTTGTGTGGGCTCCATGAAACCACAGACATACAAATTCACTTGCCACATTATTGTTATTTACTGGTGCCAGAGAATCTCAATGTGGTCAGAATAGGAAGAGGTGTGTGGAGCTTAGGTTGGACAAAATCTCCATGAAGGCAGATTTTAGATGTGAAATCTACAGTTGAGACTCCAAAAACATATGAACTTAATTTCATGAAAAAAGGGGACTTGTTTGTAGTATTATTTTTATGAGATTTTGCATTCTTTTTTCAAATCAATATGTAGTTAGACAGGAAAACAGGCAAAGACAAATGTCCTCCGGCTGTAATCAAATTAAGGACACTGTGGTTATATGTGGTACTATATGTCCCTTAACCATTAATTCAATTCAATTCAATTTTATTTGTATAGCGCCAATTCATAACAGAAGTTATCTCAGGACACTTTTCAAATAGAGCAGGTCTAGACCGAACTCTTTAAAACATTATTACATTAACAACAACATTACATTAAGCTGCCAGTACACCGCAGAAATTGGTACTTTCTAAAGTAGTTTTTTAAAGTATTTTTTTGCAGCTACAGTAGCAGCCATTAACAATAACATATCAGATGCTGAACAATGAAAGGCTATTAAGCCCATACAACTGTAATAATATCAGAGGAATGGATTCAAACTTACAGTCTGTCAGACTTTCAGCCATGTTAGGGACCCTCTTCACCAACAGACTGAAACACATGAAATATAGAGTTAATGTACAAAATGTTACAGTTTGAAACAAATCTGTCCCAAATTTACAGCAGACACAAGATTTTTACAGCAGACAGAACATCTTTTCAGTAGACTGAACAGTAAAAGAGGAGATGAACTTTCAACATGAACCATGCGAGAGGAAATATCTTGTTTCTGTGATCTTGGAGTGCAGAGGAACAGCCCATGGACACGAGATAGCGACTGTGGACAAGTGATATCTTCCTCTTGCGTTCGTCACATGCCTGGCATTTCCCCTGATGTGGAAAACACAGACGACTGAAAAACTGCATGGCTCACCCCGCGACCTTGACCATCTTGGGTTCAAAGGTCTCCACATGCTTCAGAAGGGCCTTCATGGTCTTTCCTGTGTCAACTATGGCCTTAGGGAAGGGAAGAGCAAAGGAAGGGGGAGAGATGAAGAGGGAGGGGCGCCGGACATTTGAGTGCAGAATGACAGTCAAATATGCAGATTGTAAGATAATAAATGTGTCCCTAATGTTATGGTTTTTTTTTTTACCTAGATTAACTATATTAACGTATTAATAAGGAACTAATGTGAACATGCAGTACTCAGCATCACATTGATTGTTGCTTTTTCATGTGCAGGACATTTCCAGCTTGAACAACTGAATGTAAATTTTTTAGTGACATGATTTTAAGATGCCACCCATTCAATACAACAACATAACAACCATTGTGTCAGTGTGTTTACGTGTTTCTGACTTGAGTTACAACTGAAACTCGATCTCAAAGAGAGAAAACGTTTCTTTTTGTCGTTTGGTGGACCCAACACAAAAGAGAGCTGGCTCTTGGCCGCACAATTGCCTCTCAATCAACAAGACACGACAAGAAGCGCAAACCAAACATGTCGAAAGGCATCAAACAAAGTGGGAATTTGAAGGGCATGCTTGATATAATTCATTCTGTTTAAAAAAGAAACTACGGTAAACTGCAAGACAGAGCAGAAGGGAGGTAGATTCTTTGCACCTGAGACTCACCTCAACAATGAGCACACTCTTTGTAACATGTAAAAAAAGAAGAAACACATTAGCAAAACATCACCTTTGAAAGTGAAAAGAAAGGCTCGACTGTTCCTGTGAAATGTAGATTTCTTACAGATGGTATCTATAGCAACAATGTTGGCAGCATCTTCAGTGCCTTAACAAAAACACAGACAACGCATTCTCTTCTACACAGTACCCAACATCTGCGTCTACAGTGAGCAAAAGTCACTTCTAAGTGTCTGGGTGTTACACACTTTCCCTGCTGCAGGGTTTCAAATGACTCCTTGTTCCCTTGGCCGGGTGTATGGGGCTCTTTGTGAGCCCAGTGGAGAGTATCTATGGTTTGGGGAGCGAGATCGGAGAGAATGCAGGCAGCCCGCCAAAGTTCTCTCAGTCTACACCTGAACAGTGTTACATAACACCCGGAGAAAGTCGATGGGGACATTTAAAGAACACAAAAACTCAATACATTACAAACCCGTCTTGCTGCATGTTGCAAACTATAAACAAACTATACAGCCAACGGTGCATTGGTAATTATTGACTGTGAATAGCATCATTGTTTGGGAATTTATAGTTCTCCTAGGATCCCTGGATCATGGGTTTTTGTACGATTCCTCTAGCTGAATCCATCAAAACATTGCAAGTAAATGTAGGCACTGACCAATATGCTCTAAGAGTAAACAGCCAAAAAAATGGTCATGGCGTCTTCATTTTGTTTGTCATTTAATAATTAAAGATTTTTCATAAATTTGGAAAATAAGACGAAAGGCTCAGTTTTCAATTCTTTGAGAATATAACGGGTTGCTATAAGTTCAATCAGCCTCAATCAGCAACAAATCATCATCTATTCCTCTCAACAGAAACAGGCACTTCATCCATCCTGCAATATTCCAATAATAATTCCTTCTTCACAAGTTCACACACTATTTCACATTTAAAGCTGCACTAAATTTAAACTAGACAACTCAGATTGCCATAATAACACTTGGGATTAAGGCATCTGAGTGCTATGAATTCACAGTGAGACAGTGTGCATAAGAAACGGTGCTAATCAGTTCGTGGAAACCTGCTCATGCCACCTCACTCTTCAACCCATGCTGTCATTACGTTGCCATTATCATTAGGTTTTAAAGGAACAGTGTCAGCAGCACCACACTCATAAAACCTGGAGCTGTGGCTCAACAATGTTTCTGTATAAAGCTTACAAAGACTGATGATTAATAATTAGTTTTTTTTAAATCTATATGAGACTTTGTGGGAGGTTTAATATTTCCAATAAGATGAAGGATGGTAACGAGAGCGTCAACGTAAGTGACACAGACAAAGTGGACTGATTCATGTCTTCTGTGCAAGGTGGTGGTCAGCCTTTCTCTTTTTACTCCCACTGACCTTTTTACACAGTGAAAATGAGGGAATTCAACATCAGTCATTTTTAAGCAAACGCGTGAGGGCATATTTGTGCACGCATCCCGGTGAGTAAGTGAAGTTTCTGTCTTATGCCTATGTCAGAGAATAATGAAGCGAGGAGGGACCATTCCTCATGATCCCATGTGCACTATGGACTCCTCAGTCGTCCATGCCGGAACTCAACAGGAACGAACAGTCAGTAAATCTGCCTGCTGGGAACAGTCAAAGTTGAGTACGGTTGTATAGAGAAAGGTTTAAAAGTTGAAACACAGGGGTGAGTTCTGGCCCAAGGGCAAGTTTGGGGCAATAAAAAACACGTTTCAAACAGTGTCACATATTGTTATCCATTGTGTTAGCTAAAAGAAATATGTATTCTTAGAAGAACTCTTTTGTTCACCTGTGTAAAGGTGTTCACTTGACTGACTTAAAAGAAAATTCTGACAAAAAGTACTGCCAGATTTACCACACAATCTCCAAAACGAAGAGGGAAACCTATTTACACGTACCTTTCCACGCAGGAAAGACAGATCCCGACTTCCTATGATGTGCAGCTCCTCTGTTGATTGGTCATTCTGGGGAGGAGGAGATGTAAATGGACAGATGAAGAGAGTATGTAGCTGTTGTCAATTGTGTGCTTTTCTTTTTTTTCCAGCCCTGTTGCTGATTCCTTGCACTTTTGCTCCTTCCTCAACAGAGGTTGTTCATATGAAATCAATGCTTTATTCTTTTCAGCCACCAGAAATGACAACAAATGGTCTGTCAGACTGAGAAATAGAGATGCACATGTTTTCTCTAGAGTTTCTCAATAATGTGGCTCTCCTGTACAGTTCAAGAAAAAGTCTGCAGCATTAATGCAAGTCAAATGCACAAAGGGAGAATTATTTTACAATGACTATGAATGTACAATATTATCCTTAACATAAACAAAGACAGACTCTCTCCGTCCCTGTAGGAAGCACAGGGCAGAGCTTTGAAGAGCAACAGCTTTGAAGTTAGATTCGGTCGGCTACAGATGCATCACTCGGATAAGAGGAGCAGTGACATGGACAAAATCCCAGCCCTGGGGGCAGGTCACATGACTCCATCATGACCTGTAAGATCGACTAACTGGCTGTCATTGCTCACACACTGTCCTCTAGTGTAATAACAGCGACTGTTGCTTCCCACCATGTTTGTTGACATCAAAATATAATTATGATGTTTTTATGCTTTTGCACTGCCACATTGCCTTTACTACTTCTTCTCTACTTCTTTATTCATTTAACAATGCATTTATTACCAATGCTATGTATAATTTTAGTTATTTTATTTGTCTTTAAGAAAACTTCTGACATTACAATATGACCTCAGTGTGGTTTAACTGATCCAGCAAGGAAAAAAACAACCTATAATTCAATTTAGGGTGTCCTTATAGCTACTTAAACCTCTGTGAAAGCCAGTTCTTAAAGTAGAAATAGTGAATCCTCCCCTGCGCTGCAAAGGGAGAGAAGGAATGCGACCACATGTAGAGAAATGTAAATCACATCATTCTGGATGTGCTGTGAGCCAAAACACACTAAAGAATAATAAGTGACTGTGGTGACAATTGCAAAGTGATATCATTGTAAACATTACTATATCATTCCCAAAGTTAATTGCTCGGTTTATACATTCCAGGTGTCATAAGCTGTTTCTCTTGGCAGCAGCAACAGCACCAATTAGCAGGCTGGTATTTTCATGACCTGAGCTCTGCAGTGGCTCCACAATCAATCGTCCTTGAAATGTCCTGACTGAAATGTATTCGTTCCTCGCTAAACATGAACAACAGTGACATCTGGTGGCCTAACCAAAAACCAGACGCAACATAAGGGATGTTAAAAATGGGAAAGTGTCTTTGGTATGTAGGGATGTAACTACTAAGGAAATAATAAAAGTTCCTCATCATAAATTCCCAGAACCCAATCTGATGTCCTCAAATTGCATGTTTTGTCCATCCAGCAGTCCAAAACACAAAACTATTCCATTCACTATGATATAAAATGGGGAAAAGCAAGAAATCTTCACACTTGAGAAGCTGGAACAAGTGAATATTTGACATTTATAATAAATGAATGAGTTTGTTAATCAATTTTCTGTTGATGGCCTACTCAAATAATTGATTAATCATATCAGTGCCATGTAATTGTATCATAGAAAGAAAATCCCCCCCCCCCCAAAAAAAATGATTTAGCTGTTTTCTTTCAATGATACAATTACATGGCACTGATATGAAGCCTGCTTTAGTGTATGTAATAGGATTTTAGTATACGCAGTTCACGTACTAGGTAGCTCTTCAGACGGATGAACTCCACCCGGGTTTCCAGGTATTTGTTGGAGTTGCGACCGAGAACCTTGATGAACTCCACCAGGTCTGCGCAGAACTTGTAGCCTCCCTTCAAGACGCACAGCACCATTATGTTGTTGTCCCCAAAGTCGTCCATGATGTAGCGGGCCACACGCTCTATCCTGCGGGAGAGATCACATTAAGATAAATTAAAAAAAATGACCAGGGAATTATTTTAAACAAAATCACATTGCAGGCGTGTTCATGTGTATTGTTACCTGTTCATGATTACCCCATGTGGAATGTAAACACTCTCTATGTCTTCGTGGTAGTGTTCAGGGTAAGTGAACAGGTCCAGATTGTATCCTGGCCAGTCATCTTTTATCTGGGACAGACGGTAATCTGTTAGGTATGCTACAGCGATGTGTTCAAACTACTCAGTTGTGCAATATTTGAGAGAGAACGGCTAAATGTAAACGAGACCCTAGAAAGACTCGTGGATTTCCAGAGTTTAGGAGAAATCATGACTGCTATTTGAATTTCATTGTGTAAATCTGAAGTTTTGCAGTAGGAACTTGTGTATGCCTTGGGATTTTACAATACAATATGTAATATACAACTATAAAAAAAAAAAATTATGAATTCATTTTCAATTTAAACATCAGTACTTTGTAAGCAATTTGCAATTCTATTACCTAATATTTTATTTTATGACCTGTCTGGTTTAAATCTTTGTGTTGCACAAATAATTATACAAAGTATTCTGTTAATAAATATTTCATGATAGATGTTTGTCAAATCTTATTTGGAATTATTAATTAAAATAAATGTTTACAAAGTGATAAGAGTAATAACGTGTTGTATATAGGTTATTTTGCATGGATATGAATGTGCCTTGAGATTTTGGCTTGCCCGTTGGTGTGAGGGCACAAAAAGTTTGAAAACCACTGATGTAGAAGAATTTCACAACCTGTGAATTTTAAAAACTAAAATTCAAAGCAGCTGACAACAGAATTTAGCAGCTTCAAATTCTACTTTTAAAAATTACAGCTAATACAAAACAGTATTAACAGTAGCAAATGAAACATTTAGCCCAAATAAAAATTAGGCTCTGTTTAAACTGTCCTTGACAAAAAGACTGAATATGATTATATGGGATATGCACACAATGACTGTTCACCCTAAGCATCTGTAACCTTTAAACTCAAACAGGGAAATAGTAATACCAACATGACTGACTTCAGCTTAATAATATATCTCCTGGGCTCAGAATAAATAAAAACCTAAAGGTTCTTTAAAAGCCGCTTACTGCTAAATTAATCAGACTTCAAGGAATCCAGCAAACATGTTATCTTCTTACAACAGCTCTTATAGCTGAGCAAACAATTACAAAAAATAATATTAATTCTCTCTTCATGTTGGATTATGAAATGTGACCTACATTTCTGAATTAATTCACTCGATATTTTGACTGAATGATTATAAACATACCACAATTCCTCTTTTTATCCCTGCGTTGTCCATCAGTAGTGTTGGCAGGGTGAAAACAGTCTTCACTGGAGTAAAGATTCAGGATAGGCTACAGGCAGCAGTGACCTTCAGTGGAGAGACACAGACATAGTTTAATGTACTGGACCAGATAGTGAAAGGCTTTCCATCTTTCTCTGAAAAGTTACAGTGCAGGAAAAACTACATCAAGTTCAGCCATCTCCTACAAGTCAGAGCCACAGTTTGTTAATTCAAACCTTAACGTTACACTCTGCCTGTGCATGTGAACTTAGTGCTCAGCAACACGTCTAATCCCTTATTGCCAAAGCATTACTTACAGTTGTGTTGCCTTCTTCTCAGCGACCATTCACAAAACAAAGAGAAACAGAATAAAGTAAAATATATCCAGAGAAGTCCGGGGCCAGCCACATGTGCTGTGGGATCACGCTTGAGTCATTTGTGTAGAAGGACAGCGTTGTTTCGGTCGTGGAGAATTACGGCGATAATCAGCTTCATGTGATGCTATGCTGGCTTGTGGCCGCGTCACAAGCCACAGAGGGAGAATGAAAAAAACATTAACAACAAATACTTGGTTCAGTTTTGCTGCGGTAACTTTTATTGAGTCAGTGTGAAATTGATTTTAAAGGATACTCTTAGAGCCTGCACAGGGCCACAAGAGAGGAAGATGAAATGATAAAAAAGCAAGGGAGGAATAAAAAGAAGTAATTGTTTGTCATTATCTGGGGCAAAAAGTGAATATCTCTAAAAGGCAGAGGCTCTACTCAAAAAACCCTTACATTCCAAATTTTCCTTTAAAATTACATAATATTTTAGAGAGAGTACATCACTTCGAAAGCATTTTGTGCACTACTAGTGGTAGACCTAATAACAGCATTAGTCCACAGTGAAATATCTCAACTACTGCCATTAGATTTTGTATGAATTCACATACTTATTTTACTCAAGCCCATGTGATATTTAAAGTAAGGGTCATGGTCTGAAGACATACAGTACAGTACATCTGATTAGGTAAGAGTTTTTTTTATGTCCTAGTTAGTGGGTATGTAGATGGTCTTGAATCTCTCAAAGTGGCCGATGTCGCTCTCCAGCTGCTTCATCGCCACCTCGAGACGCTCCTTGTGGAACTTCTTCGAAATGGTGTCTGTGACGAGTGAGAGGCCCTGGTACTCCCGGTGCAGCTGATCCCAGTTCTTCTTCAGGCCCTGGATAGTGGACCCACATAGGGAAACCCATCACTGTCACAATAAAGTCAGCTTCATGATGCAACTGACAGGATTCAACAGAGTGTGAGAAATTGTAATTTATTAATTCAAGCAACTGTAGTTTGCTGTGCCCTCCCGTCTCTTTTTAAATATGTACAAATAATGATCAGCCATACTACGGCCATTTTATCCCGACTCTTCAGGACTAAAAAAGAAGAAGTTATTTTCCTAAAAACTTAAAAGACATTCAACTCTCCAGTCGTTCCAGATGTCTGTAAGATCCCCTGTTGTGTCAGAGAGGCAATTGCCATTGTGCAGCCGTGTGTTTGAGTACCTCCAGGATGGTTTGTCGCTCCTCGTCAGACAGGTGTTTCATGGCTCCCTTCTCCCGCTGTTCTCTCACAAAGTTGTCATACTCCTCCTGAGCTCTCTGCTCTTCTTCATTGCGCTGCAGCAGGTAGTCAGGTACTTCTCCATAATGCTGCAAATAGGAGCTGGAAACTTTAGATAACATGTTCACGGTGGAAGGCCCCAAAGATGGATTATTACTATATTCATAAACTTATCTGAGTAGTAGTGTGTAGCTGACTTAAACAGTGTCCTAAATCTTTCTTGTGTGTAGTATTGTAGGAAAAAATACCTTTTTTTTAATGTACTTGGGGAGAAGTCCTGAATTCTCAAGGAGCTGCTTGTGTCCCTTGCTGGTGTCTACACAGACAGGCTGGGGCTTCATTGGGACTGCAGTAGCTGTCTTTATGAAGTCTCTCTTGGTGTGAATGCCCATAGGTGGGATGTCTGTCCTCGCAGGAACAGGTGGTTTCTTCACAGTGCAGGTGGTACGAAACTCTTTCAAACACTGTGTCACTGGAAGAACAAATGAATATGAAGGTAAATAAGACGATCACTGCTCAGAGGCGCAGCCACATGTTGGTCCCCAGTAGATAGGAAAACTCACTTTCGGGTAATTTGGGCTCTTTTGAGTGCTTCTTGAGGTATTTGTCTGGGGACGGCGCCTCTACTTTTGCTGGTCCCATCGTCCTCATTGCATCCTTGGTTGACTTTTTCTCAAGAACAACTGTTGGCCTATGCTTGGACATATACCTTCAGGTGCAGCACATTGGAGCAAACCATCAGTTCATTTCAAAGTCATTCATTATCCACCCATACATCCACCTTTATCAACAAGCAAATGAAATAAAAGTATAGCGACATATTAGATTAGAGAAAGTTAAAAGTTACTCCCCCTTAAAGTATCGTTACCTCGGTGGTTTTTGAGTATGGACCTCTTCCCTGGGAATAAGGTTGTAGACGCTTTCTGGTGGATGCACGACCTCGGACATTTTGAAGGTCTAAAAACCGTCGAAGGATTTAACTAAAGTGCACCTGGCTAACGTTAGCTACTGAGCTAACAGGAGCTCGAAGGTTTGTTTAACAACAAACGCTAGTTGCTAGGCAACAGCGGGAGCAAATGTTGCATTTGCTGACAGTTGTAAAGTGAATGATTTAAGTTGTTTGAGCTGTGCCTGTGTAAAATGCACGGACTTTGTCTCGCTTAGGATAAGCCAGTGTTCATATGCAACGCATTATACTCTAACTAAAAGTATTTTCTGTCTCTCTCTATAGTTGTGAAACTGTGAAGCTCTCCGCCGCTTAATTTCTACAAATTATGAGCTGTGACCAAAACCGTGTCAAGATATGTTTTGCTATTGATTCTGACTCTATTTGACATGTCTTGGATTATGATAATTTGCATTTAAAGCGCTATTTTCGTATGAATGCGAGTCGTACTTTAGAATTCGGTACACTGAAGTACAAAATTCCGAGGAGCTTGAACGCAGCACAAAACTCACTCGTACTAGCAGGTTCCGCCTTTCAAGAAAACGTATCGAGGGTATTAAAGTGATTTACTCTTATATATCGTGACATTTCTAAGCCCATGGCTGCATTACATAGGAAATAAAACATGATATGAATGAATAGTGTTTTTGCAACGGAAAGCGCTACTCTTCGATCTATTTTGTCCCTCCAGGCTGACCGTAGTTGTTTGTATCGACTTCAGAGTGAGCTTCGTGTCAAGTATGTGGTACAGAGTTGCACTTCTGTTAAAACAACACTGTTATAGTGACCACTGACTTTACTAAAGTTGAATATCGGGTTTGGAGTCCGGAAACACACCTTTACACGTGAGTGTCTCGCGCATTAAACTACTGTCCTGGCCAACACGTGCGAAGTTATCACAGCCTGTATCAGGACACGAGGTGCTAGTCTAAATAATACAAATAAAATAAAAGTAGAAGTGAATTTTAAATGTCTTTATCTTCTATTTCACAGAAGAAGAGGCTGCTGTCATCTGTCTCCTCAATGGCTTTACTGAATGCAAGGCAGCTTGCACTGAGAGCTGTCAGATGCTACCTGAGTCCCTTTTCATCATCAAAATCATGTCTCTCCACCAAAGCCTCCCTGCTGGGGGTCAAGAACCTCCTGCTCATGGGTCCTCCTGGAGCAGGGAAGACCACAGTGGGGAGGATAGTGGCCCACCGACTGGGACTGCCCGCCATTGATGTCGACGACGATGTCTTGGAGACGACGTGGAAGATGCCCGTTGCTGCCAAGCTGGCAGCAGTCGGCGGGGAGCGTTTCCTGGAGGAAGAAGGCCAGGCTTTGTGTAACTTCTCTGCTTCTGGGTGTGTTGTTTCCCTGACAGGCTCCAACCCTCTGCACGCTGCAGCGATGCAGCACGTCAAGGAGTCCGGACTGGTCATCTACCTGGATGTGGACGGGGAAGACATCATACAGAGACTCGCCAGGATGAAGGTGAACAGGATCGTGGGCCAGGAGGCAGGGGCGTCCATGAGGGACATTCTGCGTTACAGGAAGCGGTTTTATGAGAAGTGGCTCGATGTGCGGGTGCTGTGTGGAACTGGGGACACGGTGGAGGAAGTAGCTGAGAAGGTGCTGAAGGCTGTGGAGAGATATCAGAACCACGACGCAGAAACCTTCGTGTCAACCCGGAGTCCCAGCGTGGAATCGTCCAATCAGAAAACATACTTCAGTGATGTGGTAGTTGAGGGTCTGGCCACAGATGGAGGCCTCTATGTTCCCAAAAACGGCTTCCCAAACATAGATGCTCGTGAATGGCTGAGACTGGCTGACATGTCCTACCCAGAGCGAGCGTTAGTTTTGCTTGAAAAGTGCGTCCACCCATTGGACGTCTCTGCTTTGGATCTCAGGACTATGATATTCAAGGCGTATGGGTCTAACTTTTCTAGCGAGGCGGTGGCACCTGTAAAACATCTCATCCACAATCAGTACGTCCAGGAGCTTTTTCACGGCCCCACAGCCTCGTTTAAAGACCTCGCCCTGCAGCTGATGCCCCAGCTGTTCACCTACTGCCTCCCACCAATGTGCAACTACCTCATTCTGGTAGCCACATCTGGAGACACTGGGAGCGCCGTGCTCAGCGGCTTCAGCATGCTCAGTGGCACCGACAGACACAGGACCGGGGTGCTGGTGTTCTTCCCGGAGGAAGGCGTGAGTGAGATCCAGAAGCTTCAGATGATGAGCTACAGGGAGGGCAACGCCAGGGCCGTCAGCGTCCTGTCAGACTTTGACTTCTGTCAGAGAACCATAAAGGGGATGTTTGGAGAGTCTGGGCTGACGGGGCACCTCGCTGTCGAGTACGGCACAGTCCTCAGCACCGCCAACTCCATCAACTGGGCGCGGCTGTTGCCACAGGTTTGGCTCAGTAGATTCCTGTCTATAAGAGGGCTCTTCCACAGCGTTTTCACTCAAAAGCTCAGGTGTTATTAACTCTGTACCAGTGTCCCAGTAAGCCATGATAGTGTGACTGATCAGCATGCACACTGAATGGAATTCAGCCATCATTTATTTTATCATTTACACCTGTGCTTTTTCTACTGTTACATGTCAAAAAGGTCCACGAGGCAAAGGTGATGTCGTCAAACTGCTTGTTTATTCCGACCAAAAGACCAAAACCAAAAGATTTTTGAATTTACAATGCTATAAAACAGGGGAAAGCAACACATGTAGAGAATGATTGGCATTTTTGTATGAAAAAATTGACTATTATAATAATTCAATTTAATCCAATTGTGTTGAGTGCAAGAAAATGAATATTGGTTTTGCTAAAATTTTTTGTTTTTTGAAATCACTCACCAGAAGACTGACCATTTTCGTGTGAGGCATTCATTAGTCTCATTCTAGCTTGCAACAAGGGAATTAGTGTACATGTTGAGTTAGATGCAGGATCTCTGTTGAAGTTATAGCTTTATTAGACATGACATTTATTAGCATCATTTGCTATATTTCTATTTTGAAACAATATCTAACACTATTCTGATGTGTTTATGTGATATTTCATCTGTTGTGTGTTTTCCAGATTTATTCTTTCTGCTCACTTCACACACTTTTGTTAACTTTCCCTCCTCTTGCAGGTGGTGTACCATTCCTCAGCCTATCTGGATCTATGCAGAGACGGTGTTATCAAGTTTGGGGAGCCCATTGATGTTTGCATCCCTTCTGGTAACTTTGGCAATGCCATGTCGGCTGTGTACGCCAAGCAAATGGGCATCCCCATAAGGAAAGTCATCTGTGCATCCAATCACAACCGCATCATCACAGACTTTATCACCACAGGCGAGTACGATCTCCGGGGACGGCCTCTGATGCTCTCCCACTCCCCGGCTATAGATATCCTGAAATCCTCCAACCTTGAGAGGTTTATCTACCACGTCTCAGACGGAGACGGCCGTCTTGTCAAGGAGCTCTTCACACGCTTGGACACGCAGCAGCAATTTCAGGTTCCCGAGCCTCTTCTTGACAGGATACAGCAGGAAGTACTGGCTGGCTGGTGCTCTGAAGACGACTGCTTGACTGCCATCCAAAGCGTTCACACACAGACCGGCTACGTCATGGACACACACACCGCCGTGGCTAAAGTCGTGGCTGATAGGCTGCAGGACGGCTCGTGCCCCGTGGTGCTTTGTTCCACTGCTCACTACGGGAAATTCGCTCCCGCTGTGTTCAAAGCCTTACAAATCCAAAATATTCCAGAGGATCCCGTTGAGCAGCTGAAGGAGCTCGCATCCACCGCGTCTGGACCAGAAACACACAGAGACATGATGAAATGTCTGAAGGAGAGTGGCAGGAGGGGACACACAGTTTGTCCGGCTGAGTACAGTGTGTTGGTTGAGGAGGTGGAGAGCATGATACAGGACTCCTTCTTGAAAGTTATGTAGGAATATTGTAGCTTTTCCTGGCTGTCCACCTTAAATGAACGAGTTGAGTTAAAGAAAAATGAATTAGTAATTGATTTTAAAGACCAATCCTGCCTGAGCCTTCAGGAGTGAGAAAAAAACGAACACATTCACCCTGATTATACTGTAATCGAGCTCTAAACTGTTTGCTAACTGGATTTATTGATTATGCAACATTTCTTTACATCATTATCTGGAGCCCTGGCCCACTAGATGGGGATGTCTCCCTCTTGGCCACTGCTGTGTGGGAACACTGGTGACAGCACTTCAGTAACAGTATATGAGTATTGCTGTAATAAGAATTAATTACTGACTCAGTCAGAAGGTAAAATAAACTGTGTGTGTGTGTGTGTGAAATCAATATCTGCAGTCAGGCAGATAATCGTCTATAATTGTATATGCTTATGAATTCTACTGTGACAATATGTCTTTTGACTTTTATAACAGAGCTATCAAAGCCAGGTCTCACAGCGTGGCATTAAAGTACAACTAACAGACTGATATCCGTGAGTTTCACAGTCCACTAATCGGCACGTGATGCTCAAGCAGCCGGTACGCTCCTATCAGCGTCCACTGACTTATTAACTACCTCACCGATGATGTGTCTCACATGTTCTCTTGAGAAAGAGTATTACAGGAAGGGTTTGACATTTTGGGAAATATACTCATAATCTTTCCTGATACGTTTCTTGGAAGTGGTTGAACCTTGAGTATCCAAGGAAAGGCATTGTAATGACTATTATTTTACTTTAGAAATTCCTGGAGCTGAGATATTTCAGATAATGTTTGACCAGATCAGTAAACTGTGCTTCTACTATGATGTCTCCAATATTGTGTTATACTAGCAGATGTATGTATGTATGTATATTTAGACCCATTGATTAAAAGATGTGTTATTTCCGAGGCAACATGTTACCTTTCTGTGCTCTTATTTTGCTCATAGATTTTCAGTATATTTTACATAAAGTAAATTTCTTTTGAAAAAGAGTAAATGGGGGAAACAATCTGCACATTTAAATCTAATGACTTCTAGCACAGTGGTACCCAACCTTTTTCCTTAAGGGATCCCTTCTCACTTGTTGAACTCAAGACCCCACAAAACATGTTTGATAGATATTAGAATTATATTTAATGCATAACAATAACCGTACAGAACAACTAATAAACTGTACAATTATCCTAAATAGTGAACACAATAACTGCTGTTTGAGTAAAATGTATGATTTAGTTAAATTGGATGAATATTGCATTAGAGATTAGTTTTCCTCATAATTTATTGGTAACTTTTAGTTCAGTTCTCTGTCTGTATTATGTTTTTGTTTATTTTTCAGCAATCATAGATGCTTAATAGGCTTTTTCTTTTTTCTAATGCAGGATGATGCAGAAAAAATATACTGTAGCTTGTGTTCAGGTCTTCACACTTTATATCTTAAATAAGAATATTAACTTTTGAAATAACTATTTCATTAGTTTTCACAGAAATTAACGACTTGCTGAGATATAGGAAAACTGTGTTTATATATTTTTTAGCTTTCTTACACCCATGAAAAACCAGAAGGCCTTGTGCCCCCCCTGGGCAACGCACACAAACAAAACCACATTGCTCTTCTTTGCCAGACATCTGTCAGAAGAAACATCATGTAATACAGAGCCGGGGCCGAGTGGCCCCGGAGGGTAATTTTCCAGCCCTTCCGACGTCACACCATCCATAACAGGAGAGTCCAGAAATGAATCCTGTCTCTGTGGCTATCAGTCGAGTCATTTAAATCCAGGTGCTGCCTCAGCAGCCGCGGGGGGTGGAGGGAGGAAGATAAGTTTCATAGATCTCCAGGATTGCTTATGACTGCAGTTGTTAAAATAGATGGAAAGTCAGGCCAGATTTGACAAAGCACTTTGCCGGCACGTCCTCTGATCTGGATCACTGTCTCTCTGTGTCTTTGCCAGAGCTGAGAGTGTTTTCTACACTTTTCAACTTCATTTTTTATACTTTATAAAAAATATATTAATTTGTCCATTAAACATACACTGCATCACCAAAAGTATATGGAAACCTGAACATTACGTCCATATGTGATTATATCACTTGTGTCTGACCCTGATGTTGGGTGATAAGGTCAATGTTCCAGTTCATCTTGAAGGTTTTCCTGAACCGTGACCAATTATTGATAACTTATTATTAATATTGTAACCGTGACAACAAAGCCCCCCCTAACATTAACAAAGCAGATCATGTGTCGTTCCAGAGGGCACTTACAAACGAGGAAAGGGAAAGGGAAATGTACTTACGTTGCACCACTACGCCATCTTCCATCACATATCTTAACAGCAAAATATGCCCCCATTTCTTAAATTGTCTCTTTTATTTCTTGTTAAACACAGAAAAAAATATTTCAAAAGAACAATTTCTGCATTAACAAACACAATGCATGCAGCATGCTTTCATTCCAAGGCCTCATATTTGCAGATATGACTGCATCATATACGTTGGTTTACTGCCCAGTGTTTGTGTGAAAATGAGCGAGCAACATGGAGAATGCAGTCTCTCTGTGGTTTGATCCATTGCTCGTGACAGAATCAAAGACCGGTGCTCTGGTGTTAAAGAGAAAGGTGTTGAGGGACGTCAAGATAAATTACGACTTGGACTGTTCCTTTTGAATCAGTGCAAGATTTTACGATCCCTCCTCTGACTATACTTTAGTGTGTTTCCATGCTCACAGGATGACGGATCACCTTTTTGCAATGCATGGCTGTTATATAACACATGGTCGCATACTGTAGGCTTCTCTGGACCAACTCTGTGCTTGTTCTTTCTCCCTTCCTTTCCTTCTGTCTGTGGTTTGCTTCGCTGTGAGCACTGGCCTTATTAATCAAGCTACTTGGCAGGTGAATGTGAGGAATGGGTGGGTAAGTGTTGTGTGCGGCTGCATGTGTGTGTGTGTGGTGAAGGGAAAGAGAGAGCCAGCTGTTGCTCAGCACCTAGTGGCCCACGGCTGGGTGAGCAAGGATAATTGCAGGTACCAGCCTGTTCCCATCTCCTTAATGTGAACCTGTGGCATAATGGAAACTGCTCTTTCACAGTGGAGGGAAATAGAAAGGAGAGAGGAGAAAATTAATGCATCGCAGGAGTTTGGAAAGAAGATCTGGGGAACCGGGTTGATTTGAGGCTCTTCTCCCAAGATCTATGAATCTAGATTTTTGGTTATTTCTGTTGAATTCCACTATGTAGTATTAAGATTTTGTGAAAAAAATTATTCGGCACAGACATCACTTCGATCTGCAAATGTGGTCAATGTAAGTAGGAAAACTTGAAATAGTTTGCCTTAATATTTTTTGTTATTTGCTCCAACTACGTTCATCTTTGTTGTCTTGGTTACAACAGGGTCTCCTACAACATTAAGAAGGGGCTTGTTTGCCACGTTTTCTTCTCCTTGCACTGACAAATAGAAACACTTGTCAGTATAATAAAATTTCTGAAGCCATCACCACACAGAGAAATAAACATCCTCAAAAATTGTATCCTGATATTTGTTATATAAATCCTTAAAAATTAGGCAAAATGTATTGAATGTAGGAAGATTTGATATCAATCCAACTCAATATGCCTCATGTGCATTTTTGTTTAGCTGCATAACACCCCCAAGTTACTAAAATAATACAGAAGATTACTCTCTATTCAGCCAATCTAACCTAATTCTTGTGACAACATCTGACAAGCAGTAAATTAAATTCAAATTCAACCAAATAAATCCAATCCAAAATAAGTGAAAAAAGCTGTGTTTTTGTACTGTAAGGTTCTGATAGATTAGTTATGTATTGGAATAATGTCACATTTTAATAGATTTAGAAGAATATTTATAGAAGAATTATATATTAGGCAGCCATATTAACCTCTGCCGATACAATTGAGGTCCCTACCTTATTATGTTTATGTAAAATAGTACATAAAACTAAGTAAGTCAACATGTCTTCATTGAGAAAGTGAATTGCATCCTTAAAAAGAGTCATTAGCATTGGTTTCAGTGGAGTTGCACTGTCCTATGAAAGTAAAGTAAATGTCATTTAAGAGGCTTTCCTCCCTGCCAAGAAAAAAGCCTACAGGGGGAAGAGGTCATTCTTGTCCGTCTTGGCACATAAAATAGTCACATTTAAAAATGTTGGCATGAAATACTGGCACTAACGGTTCTGAAGTGGAGGTAAAACACTCCCACGACTGCTAAGACCTGAGTTAAAGTCTTGGCAGCAGCGGCTCTACCTCGGCCAATGCGCTCTGAATAACACAATTTTGAGTATTTAAATAGGAAGCCAGTGAGGGATCAAGTCCTGATCTAACTCACATGCTGGTCTACACCCTCATGCGGTCTGTGACGACAGAGACTCACACTAAGAAATTGCAACTAAAATCTTGAAAACTTAAAATCTTAAAATTTGAATTACACATTGTGAAGGTTTAGTGGTTATTAAATCTTCTTCATCATCACGATGAGGAGCGAGCAGTTGAAGTAAAATATACCACACTTTAATGCTCAATTAGCCTAAAATGGATTTAGTTAGTGTTAATTATGCTTGTACTTAACGTGTAATCATGTTTTTGTTGAATCATTAAAATAAATAACATTTGTAGCTGATGGTGTAAACATTTATAACTTGTAATGCCTCATTAGTATTATTAAAAGATACAGTATTGTACCTTATTGTCATTAATAAGCTGCTTAAAAATCTGTTTGTTTAAAACAATTAATGTAGAAAAAAATCTGTTCATTTCCTCCCAGTATCTTCGAAATCTGTACTCAATTGTGGTGGATTTGTGATGTTACATACTGGTTAAAATAGAAAATAAATTATGAAGAATAAAGTAAAGTTATGCACAAATTTGAGGTACTGTACTTGACTTTAGTATATTCCTTTCATACTAGAAATATTTTTTACTTTTTACTGTACTGCCAAAACAAGTCATCTGATCTGACAACACACTTCTGTACGTGTGTGTTTGTGTGTAGTTGCTTTTTTTAGACTGTCTTATTACGAGTATTATTGCATAGTGAGGTCTTTTTTTCCGTGATCAATGGTTGCTTTCTGGAAGCAAGAGCCAAACAATCAGCCAACATATCTGAACATCGTGTTCACCCGAGGCGTCCCTGCTAATTACCTAAGACATTGATTCGCACCCCTACATACCTCTGCGAAGTGTGAGGAAGAAGGGGAGAGAAGAGAGAGCTAATGAAGGTGTCAACAGGAGCTCGCCACCAGAAGATGATTGTTATTGGATTGAACTCATTTGCATTTTGATGCAGGCTCAGGGCTGAACAATACGCATTGGTACCTATCTGCTGTTAACAGTCTTTGATAAGCACACAGACAAAAAAGCAGTGATTCAATTCAAGGTGAACAAAATAACTGAAGGGTCCTGAAACAGATTACATTTAACTGATGCCTCCATCAGGCTTCTAGCGACCATCTGCCAGGATCTTCTCCTCCCTGGGATGAAGGAAAGAGAATCCATTTCTCACTCGGAGAATGAGAAATCAATGACCCCGAGATGGATCTGTGTGAAATGAGATATGAGTCTCGTCTCGGAGGACCCCGCAGATTGACAGCTGACTGACAGGGGTTAACTGCCAGAAAAGGCCCGACAGGCTTGAAGGTGTAAAAACCGACCCTCTTGGACTCTCAACTCCAAATATACTCTGGAACTTAAGGTTAAAATGTTACATGTTGAGATACACGTAGGCCGACTGTTGCTGGATTCCCAAGATATTCTTGTAATTGACTGTTCGCTAACCCCAGACCCTCTGCTGCTACGCCTGTTAAGCTTCCCGCTCCTGTACAGCAGTTTACACCTATAATGGTTGCAGATTTATCACTCTCTTGTAGTATTTGTTAAAACAATAGATACATGATTACGTCAGAG